TGTCCCCCCGGAACTGTCAGTCCCGTTGTTTTCTCCTCCAGATTGTTCATCCAGCCTGTCCTATCCAGACAGGCCTGCGGAGACAACAACATTTGTTGACAAGGATCTCGGAGAAGCGTTAAGCAGAGTGACACTGTTGCGGCTTGTCCATGTCATTGACCAATCCAATCACTACTGCTCTGTGATAGTTACATTGTTTCATGTTCACTTGAAGATAGATAAAAGTGTAGGGTGGTGTTCAACCTGTCAATCAGATCACAGCCTGATGGTGCCTCCTTGTGGGTGTGGCCTTCTCATAAGGAGGTCACTGGGAACCTTTTCTTTCTCTGCCTTCACCTTCCTGCTAGAGAGTCACCCTGTGACCTGCCAGAGCCCTGTTGATGCTTCCACCACCATTGGATCCACGAGACTTTGCACCCACCAGCCTGTGATCTGCCTGCATTCTGTATCACTGCATGTGGCTGTGTGAGTCTGAAGAGGGGTAGTATCTGACTTATAGACTTGAGTTAGACTGGGCTGGGATGCTTTCTCAATATGTCATTACTTCTTGATATAAAGCTCTTACACATATATGACTGTCACTGGATTTGTTTCCCTGGTCAACCCAGCAGAACACATATTCCATCTGCTTTCAGCTTTCAACTAAAATGTGTTGAACTCGCTTGTGTACTGGTGGTCATTTCCTCTTAACTGCCGTTGTCGTGGTTGTTACACCGAAGCCCTTCGTGTGCCATTGTTATTATTTTTTTCATGTCTGCAATGCCTGCTATTATTATCTGTCCTAATTTTATCTTTATTTAGAGGATTGAAATGTAGATTAATTAAAAACACTGTATCCCAATGTAAATGGAAAACCAGAACCAGTTTTGTTACCGATATAAAAGGTGACTAAAATCTTCTATCTGTAAGAGTTGAAGTGTCGATCGTGTCTCACTTACAGTCAACAGGCTCAACTCCAGTGCAGTGGTCTGCCAGCTTTACAGTCCTGCAGTCCCATTGGAGTAGAGAGTTGATGTCCCGGCATTCTGTCACAAACTGGAACTTGAAGCCCATCCACTTGAAAGTGACTTATGATGGTTCGTGTCCTCTTAAAGCCAGGACAGTTTGAGTCTGAGTATCCAAAGTGGCCAGTGTTGAGCCTGTTCCAGTCAGATGGCGTGAACAAGTTGTCCTTGAATACTCACCTAATTAGGAGCCCGAGTGGCCCTGTGTGTTAGACAGTGTGCTGCTAACCACAGGCTTGGCAGTTTTAACCCACCCACTGCTCAGAAGGAGAGAAATAGAGGCTATCTGCTCCCTAAATATTTGCATCTTTGGAAATCCTATGAGGATCACTGTGAGTTGCAATCAACTCTATGGCAGTGGGTCCTTACCCTCTGGTTGGTGGTTCAGATCCACCCAGTGACACCATTGGAAAAAAGGCCTCGTGGTCTGTTTCCTTAAAGATTATAGGCAAGAAAGCTCAATGGCCCAGTTCTCCTCTATAACATGAGGTCACCGGGACCTGGGATCAAGTTGACCACAGTGTTGTCTTATTTCTTGTGTGGGAGTATCTTTGGAGAAATTTGATGCATTTGCAATTTCTCTCTCACTGTAGGACTGACCACCTTGGACGGACGATGGGTGTGTACTTCTGCTTGAGGTGGCCATCGCAGATGGTGCGCAGTAAAAGAATGAAGGCCAGTTCACATGTCCAGTGGCTCTTGTCCTCAGTGCTTCTTCTTTGTCTAGTGGACCAAGCGAATGGCCAGAAGAAGGGTGAGTGTGATGGACTCATGGGCCGGAACCGCCGGCAGAGTGACCATATTCATCACGACACCGTCGGTTGTCTTCACTGGATGCTGCAAAGCCAGCTCTTTCTACCCGTTTTGGCTACATTAAAACGGTTACTAGAGATCAGTCTAAAGATACATTTTAAATGAAGTTGGAGCTTCCTTTCATTCACTTCACCTTGCAGGCTGTGGTTCCTTGCGTTTTGACAAGTGCCCACAGCCCCTGGAAGCACTGTCTGTTTTCAGTCAGTCACAGTGGTTGTGTCTGCTCCAGAAGGTCAGATAAATGAACTCTACCTTTAAAAAAGTTATGCTGTCTTTTGTTACCATCGGATGTAGCTATGTTGAAAATGTTTATATAATCAACACCTAGCTTATTCCCATCAAGTGCATTATAATCCTGTAGCACCTTGTTTTCATTTTTAGATTATTTATATAATTCAGCAGCTCTCTATTCCCCAAGGTCAGCGATTATTACTATAATTTTCATGAAAATCTTTATTTATTGAATTTTATTTTATTAAAGTGCTTAGTTATTTAGACTCACACATACCATCTACGGACTTTAAAGTCCTCAGTGAGCATATCGCTGTGTAAACTTAATGGGATTTGTACAAAATATATTTCTATTACTATAGCTACTACTGATGGCTAATGTGGTACCTTGTAATATAATGCTATTTTTATACTTTAAAATAGCTGTGTTTATCATGCTAGCCATATGTCTAAAGTAGAGAGGAAGAATTTTTTGTTGAGGTTTATGTGGTGAGAAGGTACTCCGTCTGAGATAGGCTATCTTTTTCCTTTTAAAATTACATTTGTTTTCCATTGCCCTCTCCTCCCTTTCCTTCATTTCTCTCTTCTTTCCTCCACTTCCCCCTCACCTGTCCCCCCTCACCTGTCCCCCCTCACCTGTCCGACCTGTCTTCCTTCTCTTTCTCAGGAGGACTCTTTTCATCGTCTCACATAGTCAGTGATGTCGTGTTATTTTTACAGATGCGAGCGCTGCTGTTCAGATTGTAATCTCTGAGTTATTTGCTCCTTTTCAGGTGTTTGGACTCACACACACACACCCCATCCACAGACGTTAAAGTCTTCTGTGAGCATACAGCGTGTACATTGTATAGGATTCATACAGATGTGCTGACTTCTGTGCAGAGGGGCAGGCAGGAGGCAAACGGATGCAGTAGGGATTTGGAGTGTTTAAAAGCTGGCCTTGTTGGCATGGGACCACAAGGTCTTTTTCTAGCTATCTAATCCATCAGTCCATCCACCCATCCCTCCTACCCCCAAACGTGGCTATTGGAAGCTAACCGGTGCCAATAGCCATTGAGCTGAATCCAATGGAGTACTACACCCACCTCCCTTCCACCCCCCCTCCCCCAGGCCCTCTCTTGGTCTCATCTCAGTGCTGCTAATCCAGTCACTTCTGTTTGTTGCAACTTTGGTCTCCGTTGTCTGGAGGCAGTATTATCAATAGAACGTGCCTATCCCTTCAGTAGCCTAGTGGTTCTTTTTCACCCTCTCACCTTTTTTTCAATTTGATGAAAACTATAAAAAACTTAAAAGCCAACCATGTAGGCCTCCCATGACTGCAGGCTTCCCTTTGCACCTAGAACTGGCACCCGATGCAGACAGATGCCCTTGTACTTGCGCCCTAAAACGACTTAGCTTGCCGAGCTGCCAAATCACTTTCACATGATTAAGATGCATTGGGTTGTGTGGTTTTCTTTCTCCAGGGGTGCCTCGCGGTCTGAAGTGTGTGACCAGAAATTTAGAAGTATGGGACTGCTCGTGGAAAGGGCCCTCTGGTCCCAATGGCACTGTCTATGAAGTTTGCATCAAGAGCAGGTACAGCAAGACTTGGTAGCTTCAATTTTAGAACACAGAGTCTCTAGTCTGGAAATTTATTTTTATGGTATTTTAAACTTTAATGCACTGTTTCCCTCAAATTCTGAATCCAAAAAAATTGTTTTTTACTCTCTCCTAGCCAGAACTTTGTTTCTTTTACTATATAAATGAGTGTGATACATACCCACAGCTGTGCTGTGGTTCCAGTCTGCTCTCAGGAAGGTGGACATGTCCATCTCAAACTGTTAGGAATTTGGCTCCTAAGCTCCTAAGCTTGGCTGTCTGCAAGAGGGAACCCAGCAGGCATAGGGGCTTGCACAGTGGACGGCAAACCCCAAGGTCAGGGGTTCTAACGCATCAGCTGCTCCTCAGGAGAAAGATTAAGCTATCGCCTCCTATAATGATTTATAGTCTGAGAAATGCAAAAGGGCAGTTCTAGCCTCTCTGCGTTGCTATAAATTGGAATCTATTTGATGGCAGTGGGTTTGTTTTTTTGCTTGGGAGCAGAAGAGAAAACATCAGTGCTAGTGGCATAACAGACAGCCATTCCTTCTCAGCTGAAAACTCCAGCAGTGGGCAGACCAACCCCACCCAGCATGTTGTCTCTGGCTGTCTGAGACCCTCTTTATAAGTCCACCTGGCCGTCCTGTAGCACATGACCTCCTGCTCCAAGCTGAGTGCTTGAGGTGCAGCCATGTCCAGTCTGCATTCCGGAACGCGGGAGGGGAATGAGAGGAGAGTAGTCTGTGGGATGTCCAAGTCCTTACAACACTTATATCTCATTGGCTAGCACTTAGCCAAGTAGCTCAACCCAGTTCCCTAAGCGGCAGGGAAACTCATTCTCCTAGCTGTGGGTGGTATGTCCAGATATCTGTGGCGTTTCTGTTACAAGGAGAAGGGGGCATGGGGGCTGGGAGGCTGGTGGCAAGTTCTGTCCCACTACCTCACCTTCTCAGGGACCACTGGAATGGGCTGAGGACATCCTGCAGGGCATCCCAGCAGGGCCCAAGTTCCCCAGCAGCGCTATGGGAGTTGTGCAGCTTTACAACCTCCGTTCCTTGTGCACTTGCTGACAAGTGGCCCTCACATCCGATGACATAGTGTTTACTTAAAGGCGAGCAGATTTTTATTCTCCTTTTTTAAGACTATCCTATTCAGTGTACACTCATTCATTGAGCATTATCGCTCAGGCAGGCAAGACTACGTCGCACAAGCAAATAACCCTCAAATCCTAGTGGCCCGCTTTCCTGCTGTGTTCTGTTTTCCTGGTGGGTCAGCGGGGACCCCTGCTCCATCTCTCCCATAGAGCCAGCCCGAGCTGGATGCTCCTCACCTTAGCGGGAGCACGAGCTATGCTGTGTGCTGAAACAAAACAACAACAACAGTAACAAACACACTCAAACACCACAGCTCCTGCACAGATTGGTCTCTCAGCAGCAGGTGCTTTCCAGAGCAAACTGTTTAATTTCCGCTCCAGAATGGAATGAAAGCAGACAGCGGCACCAAAATAGTTTGCGTCTTCCCTGGTGACTCCGTGTGGGTGGGTTTGTTCAGAGAGGGTGTGACACCCACTTAGATGCAAGGGTGTCACAAAGATAAAGCTCTGCGCAGAGAGGACTTGGAGAGGAGGAGAGCATCCTTCCTGAAACGACAGCCCTGACTCTCAAGGTCTCTCTGGCCACATGACGTCCCGTCACCATGCCCACTTCAGTGTAGCAGGGACATGCCGTCCTGCCTTGGGCCCAGGAGGGAGAACCAACCCGTCTGGCACCTTGGCCTGGTGACCACCGCAGACCACGGGGAGGAAGTCGGTTCCGACTCCCAAGGAGTTCCCAGTCAACAAATCCCCACAATGCTGTCGGTGACGAGCTGCTGGAATTGGCCTGTGAAAGGCGAGGGACGGTGGCCTGGGGAGGCCAGAGGGGGTCACTGTGGAATATATAGGAGGACTGTCCTCAGCAGGAAAAGGTCAGAAGAGCACGTGTCCTGAAGGACACCGGTTAGAACGACAGCAGCGTGGTGTGAACGCGCTTGATGTCCTGGGAGCACCCACGTGGTTTCATGCGGCTGGCACATTAGGGAGTTTTCCCACTTGCCGCAGAGGAGGAGGGAGCCAGAGCCCTGTTTAAGTTCCAGGACCTGAGCGAGGCAGGTGGAGGGGCCTCTGTTAGAGGCTGGAGGCACGAGAGGCACGAACAGTCCCTTTGATTGAGTTAAACCGTCCATGGGCAAGCTAGAAATATACAGGAATCGTGATGGAAAGAATGCCAAATATGGTTTTAGAGATGCAGAGGGCCTTGGAGCCAGAGAGAAAAGAACACCTTTGTCTAAGAAAATAAGGCTGTAGTGGGGCTGGGAGCATTTGGGGGAAATGAGATAAACCCAAACCAAATGCCCTGAGCCATTCAGTCCGACAGGGTAGAGCTGCCCCTGTAGGTTTCCAGGGCACCCACAGTCCTTACAGGAGCAGAGAGCCTCATCTTTATCCCATGGAATGGCTGGTGGGTTTGATCTGTGGCCAGGAAATTAACAGCCCGATGCATAAGCTAGGATGTCCTCAGGGCTTCTTTTGATGGGGAAGCTTTGTTCAAAATAAAGTGTGAACCACAGCAGAGAAGTGGGAAGTCTGAGAGTATCGTTGAAGGAGACAGCTAGGAAGTTTCATGCCTTTCCTCAGCATCACTGAGCCCACCTTTGTGTGAGGAACGGAGGACTGGTGGGATGGTTTCCAGGGAGGGGAACCCGAAGACCAGGCTGATGAGGGGAGTGCAGGCTGGGATTCTGACCAGCATGCTGAAACCTGAAGCTTCTTGAAAGGGCCACCGAGGCTCACTGTACTTTCTAGTACAACTGGGTTATTTTTCCCCGCCACCATGTTATTAAAACTTAGAAGATAAACAAAAAGAAGTATTGCTACTAGAATTCCTACTCCATACTTACAAGTTTAGGAGCCTTGGTGATATAGTGGTTATGCATTGGGCTGCTAACATCAAGGTCAGCTGTTTGAAACCACCAGCCACTCCTCGGGAGAAAGATGAGGCTTTCTACTCCCACAAAGAGTTACAGTCTCAGAAACCCACGCAGGCAGTTCTACCCTGTCTTGCCAAGGTCCCTTATGAATCTGCATCAACTAGATGATAGTGAACCTTTTTTTTTTTTTTAACTGCTACTATGTTTATGCATATATCCATGGGTTTAGTCTAAACAGAACGTGTTTGAGCATGCCTTGAGTTCAGTCAGTGGACGGCTCCAGACAAGTTCTTGCAGTAATGAACTCGTCTTGGTCTCGTTGAGATGCCTTCAAAAAGAAAAGGAAGGTCCAACCAGGCTAGTGGCTGCCGAGGGGATCTGCTGGGCCAGTTGGACTCAGGGCAGAGAGGGCGGCTCAGAAGATTACGGTGGCTGCTCCTTGTCATTCCCAAGGTGTCCTCTTGAACGGTGTGTTTTCAGAGGATGGAGGGTGGCCCTGGGGAATAATGAAGACATTTTAAGAAAATGGAAAACTGCATCAGTGAGACAAAAGCCAGGACAGTGCACCAAGGACATTTGTCCTGTCAGAGCAACACCTGTTTATGGTTCGAGGTGAGCAAGGGCTATCTTACAAGGATTTTGGTGAGAAGCCTTACTTGACCCCTCAGATGTCTTTTTGTTTCCCAAACTCAAAGTTAACATTTCAAGGGAAAATTTTTGAATCCCACGAGGATACCAAAAATTGAAGAGCACAGATGTCTTGGGAGTCAAGATTAGGGAGATGGAAACATTGCCTTCAGAAGTGCCTGCACTTGGATTGCTCCCGTGTGAACTCAGATCACGTTGGACTTGAGTCCTTTAGCAGACGAGCCATTGATAGCGGCTGCACCACTGGGATGCCGTGATCCAATATCGAGGTGGTAACCTTATTGTCAATATGAACTCTTAATAGACTTGCATGATCCCTACAGTAACTTAGTCTATGGATCAAATAATTGGATCAGTAAGTGATTGAACACTTTGGTTAGTCTAGGTAAAATATCATTTGGAGGTTAGTTTGTGCTCTGAGGTCACCCCAACTAAAATTTACAGTCCATATAACCATATATCTCTTGAAACTCAGTTTTGTTAGTGAACTGCTCATTAAAGCTCTATAGCAGTGGTTCTCAACCTTCCTCATGCTGCGACCCTTTTATACAGCTCCACATGTTGTGACCCCCAACCATAAAATTATTTTCATTGTTACTTCATAACTACATTCATTGCTATTTCATGAATCGGGTGACCCCTGTGAAAGGGTCGTTTGACCCCCAAAGGGGTCTCGACCTACAGGTTGCGAACTGCTGCTCTATAGGATCTTCTCGTCGTAAGACTATATCCCCGCATCTTCCCGGGGGTTCAGTTTCACTGATAAAAAGTAAGAGACAGTTAATTCCTCATGTGGCCAGTCATACAAGCCCTTATTTACAGAACAAATGATTATGCTACCTTTGCACGGTCAATGGTCAGAGTACCGCGGCCGTTAAATGTGAGTCACTGGGCAGACAGTGCCTCTACTACTAGAAATGCTGGCGGTGATGTTTTTGGTAAACAGGCAGGATTTATGTTGCCGAGTTCCTTTTACTTTTTAAAATCTTTCCTTCAAAGTACATGCCTGTGTTGGGTTAACAAATTAAATAATAAAGAGATTAGATGAAATTACTTAATTGTTAACTATCGGACATTCGTTCTGATATGAATTAGTGCAAGGAGAATTAAATTCTTATTACTTACATTAACAGTATTACTTCTATAGAGTTATAGATTGGTCCAGTGGAAAGATAGACGTTAGTATTCATTATAGGCATTTAGAATAGACCTTGTTGAGGTTGAACACTTTCTCAATTGATGGCAGCTCTGAGGCCTACTATGAATATGGTAAATTTTACTCTCTAAAGAAGGCTGGATCCTAGTTTGAGAGAGTTGTACCTCTTTCAATCAAATCTAAAATTTACATAGGGATTAAGTATAGAGCTAGGATGAATGCTTAATTCTTTAATATAACAAGAGAGAAGGACAGAGGAACACTATTATAATGGATACTCATCTCTGCAAAGCTCTCTTCTTGCCTCGATTTCGCTGCCTCTGTCTAAGTCCTCTCCTCCTCTGCTGTCATCCGTGAAGATTACAGCCTGGAAACCCCGTGGGCAATTCCCCTGTGTTACCTCCCGGTGCTGTGAGTCCTGCTTGAGTTGATGGCCGGAACGGCAGTGTGATCCCTAAGTACTGCTTACCTATATACGAAAGTATTCCAGTGTATTTGCTTTGAGTTGATTTCTGTGCAATTACTCCCTGAGAGCTGTTGTGATGAGGGAATGGTAATGAAGCATGGTCTCCCTCACAACGGTGTTCATGACATTTGGTGACAGCGTTGGTTGATGAAGGGCACGCTTACTGGACCACCACAGTGGAACCTGTGTAAACTTACTCAGACCGGGCTTTCCCACGTTGTGCTTTATGAATGAAACCTTTAATTTGTCTCATAAGGACAGGTGCCATTTGGCCCTAACAAGTTATTGATCTAAAGAGTCCTGCTACAACAGTTAAGTGCTTAGCGGCTAAGTGGAAGGTTGGTGGTTTGAACCTACCAGAATTTCTATGGGAGAAAAAGTCCTGATAATCTGCTCGTTTAGAGCTTACAGCCTAGGAGACGCCCTGCGTCAGGGCTACTCTGCCCTGTATGTCGGGTCACTCTGTGGGAATCCACTCAGCAGTTCTTGTCAGTGTGTGTGTGTGTGTGTGTGTGTGTGTGTGTAGAATCATGGTAAATGTGAGTCAAAACTTACTCAATGACAATGGGACTGGACTCTCTTTAGTATTCCTTGAGTGTGGATGACAGCTGCACTAGGAATTTTATTTGTTCACTTGTAATGCTCTTTCTTTCTTTGCAGGGACCATTGTTATACATCTGTGAAACCAAGTATTCAAATTCCAGCTCTTCTTCCTGGTGATCATGAAATAACAATATATCCTCAAAATGATTTTGGAAGTTCACCGAGTAAATTCATCCTAAATGAAGAAAGCATTTGTAAGTAGTGAATGTCAAAGGAAAGTGAATTGCAGATAGCTCGGAACACCGGCTGCTGCCGTCAGTATCTGGTGTTCTCTTAGGGGCAGAAACGGGCATGCTTTCCCATTTCACTTGTGACACTAATTACTCTCTTCTTCCCAGCAAGGTCACTGTGGATTGGAGGGTGCAAGCAAGGTCTGGAAGGAGGCTGGACGGCACAGAGCTCCAGAGCCTTCCCTCGGTTTGCTAGGCTTTCCTGAGCACCCTTGCCTGATTGCTGCACGCCGGGGGTGGGAATCCTTTCTTCTACCAAGGGCCATTTGGATATTTATAACATCATCCTTAGGCCGTACTGCCCAAACGGTTCATTAATTCATCCCTGAGGGATGGCAGGAGCCCTGGTGGCATAGTGGATTCCGTATTGGGCTGCTAATGGCAAGGTCAGTAGGTTGATGACCTTTGGTAAGGGGTGTAATCTGAGCTGATTTGACGTCTTACACCTTGGACAGTCCACAGACCAGACTTCTCCTCACTCCTTGCACACCTTTTCGGGGTTCTTAGATGCTGCTGACCACCCATTTCAAAGTAGATACTTCTCCTTTTTGACATAACGCCTACTCAATCTGGGACTTGTCCAAGGAAGGGACCCAGTCTTTTGCACCCAGCACAGCACCTTCGATGTAGCAGGAATTTACTACTGACGTATGGACTGAATGCATAAAACATGTGCTGCACGCAGAGTAGAAGCACCGAATAAAGCCGGGCGGACAGAGATAGGCATTGTGCTGCCTACTACCACCTTACGAGCTTGCACTACTTAACTCTTAGCAGTGGGGCCAAATTAGTCAGCCCCTGACAAGCATAGCGCCTGCATTATAGTGATCGTCTAATGAATCCTGTCAGGACGCTGTGCTTTTGAAGCAAGGGCCAATAAAATAGAATGAACGTGGTAGTTTGTCTGGTTTTACCGACGGGATGCATGTGTGGGTGGTCCCTGTCTGAGATTGCACCGATGGAAGCAAGACCCCGTGTAGTTCAGCAATGTAGCATCTGTTCCTGCTGCCGAAGACTTTGCCAGTGTCCAGTGCTACTCAGAGCTGGATGTCAGGATGAGAGCGCAGCCATGGTGTGGATTTTGGTTTGATTGTTGTCAGTCATCCAAGCCCGAATCTTATTTCCCATAGCACAGATTTTTGATCAACCCAATTGATGGTAAATTTTGAGATATAGGAGGTGGGTGCTTATGAATTTTATTTCAGCCATAAACTTTGACCTGGAGGGGTTTTCTCTTTAATAATGCATAAGCTCTCTGCAGAATTTTCAACATATTCAGAATCCTGAGAGTTAGAAAGCAGCCAGGTCAGCCGTGATCTCAGCACCAGAGAGAAGCATTATTAACAAATAGATCCTGAATACTGATACATTGAAATAGGATTTCTAGTACTTTGTAATTGGTGATCAGGATACATCGGACGTATTTTCAAATTATTAATCTCTGTAAATCTGCATTATCTTCAGTGGCTGATAGTATTCCATTGAATGAAGGTTTTATAATTAAATATACTATTGACATTTAAATTTTTATTTCTGGTATTTGAATATTATAATTAATACTTTGACAGAAATCTTTGGTACGTGTTGACTGGGGTGGGGAGTAGGTTGAAAAAGCTCATGGAAAAATTCCATTATCTTTTTTTTTTTTTTTCCAAAACCACTTTATTGGGAGGTATTGTACAATTGCTACCACAATCAGTTTTAAAGCATTCTCTTCCTTCTTGAACTCCTTGATATCAGCTCCCCTTTGTCCCCCCTCCCCCCCACTGTATCCCCACAAACCCTATTCTACCTGCTGTCTCTATATGTTCATCAATCTTGAGCTTCATATACTGAAAAAAAGAAAAAACACGTAACAATTCAAGAGCATTACCCCCAATGACAAAATACACCCGAAAAATAGACCCCAATATTTAAAAAACAAACCATCAAACAAACTCAGAATACAGTATGTTGAAAACCAGGTCAGGCCCACCTGCTTCTGAAGGGGGTTCAACTGACAAGGTTTTAACCATTCAAGTTAGTTTTATGATTTTGAGCTCTTACAATCGTCTCTCTAGTGCACTCTGCTTGGTAACCACTTTATTCCCATTTCTCCATTATGGATGGAGGGAAATCACCAGAGGCTTATTTCCTGTGTGGATTTCACAAATGTATCTTGGGCGCCCAGTGTTATCCATAGCCTCTGCAAACCAGAATCTCACTATTTAGGCTCTGATATTTAATGCCCTCCTTCGGCTTTGGGTTTTATGATTTACGATTTTTCAGTCACTGAAGATGGTATGCTTTTTCCATGTACACTTAAGTTGACCTCTCACTTAGATGGCTGCTTCTTTTGAAACAAGCCAGCGACCCCAGGCACTCTTCTGTCTGATAGCTGGGCACCGTCTAGTTTCTTTGCCACGCTTTCCTATAGCGCCGCATCTTCTGTGTTCCCTTTCTGAGGAGTATCGAGCAGGGTCCTGATGTAAGAACTGATTGTCCTTAAATTGGAGGTACAATTTAGTATGAGCTCAAACCCCATTCTGGCTCTATGTTTTTTAATCTGAATAAAAAATATAGAGCCTTCTGGCTCCCTTTTGAGAACTCCTTATTAATTTATGGTAGAGAGTCTTATGGATCATCTCCCGGGAGCATAAAAATCTTCTATTAATATTGTCATTGATTAGCCACTGGTACTAATTTTTTGAAACACTACTGAGAGAGGGTCATTATCTTTTAATTCTACTTTTCCACACTCATTTTGAAATTCCTTCATGTATGTTTGTGAATTTGACTCTTGATTTACTTTGGCTGTGTTCCTGGAATTGTAGTTGCGGCATTAAAGATACTCTCTTTTAAAAGACTTTCGATATAGATTGCCAAATTATTGCCCCCCAAAGTGCCAAACTCAAACCAAACTCATCTTATTTAGTCTGTCTGCTCCGATGCTTAGTGACCCGATAGGCCTGAGTAGAACTTCCCTCTGGATTTTTGAGGCTGTAAATTTTTAGGGGAGCAGACAAGCCTCTTCTTTCTCTGATGATGGAGCTGCTGGTGGGTTCGAACTGCTGACCTTGTAGTTAGCAGTCCAACTCACAACCCACTATGCCACCGGGGCTGCCCAGTGTCATTCTGCATACAGCAAATAGATGCCTCTGTCTCACTTCTGTGTCAGTGCTGGCTATGACTCATCTCTCTTCAGAATGTTTGCCGCTCCAGTCTGATAGCCCCCAAGGATGTCTCTGTTGTTTTCCCATTTCCTTAAGAGCTTTTTCAGTGGGCCGGCAGGGGTCAGGCTTTTGTACTCTTTTGCCTTTAATGAGGCAACGTTCCACTCAGTTTTATTGGGTCATTAGAAGTCTGAACTGATTAGATGGCAGTAAGCTTGGGGCAAAATTTATTCATATTCTTTGTAATTTTTCTCTCATGTTAGTCATCCCTTTCCTCAGCAATTCATTCACAAGACACCTCTTTCCATTTTGGCTGTTGGCTCTGTCATATTTGCTGCAAATATTTTTCCAAGTTTGTCATTAAAAAAGGAAAAAAAGCTTTGTGGTATTTTTCTTACTAAGAGAGAATCTCTTGATGTTTTCCTTCATGAGTTTTTGATTTTGCAATCAGGGTTGATTTAAATCTTTCATCCATCTGGAATTGTTTTGTCGTACATTAAGAAGCCTATCTGACTCATATTCCAGATTCTTATAAACCAACTTACCATCACTGGTTGTGTTGTGGCAGGAGGTCCCCAAAGTTATTGTCGAGGAAGCTACTGGAAGATGACAGTGTTAGATAAAGTCAGATCTGGACAGACACTAACTCGGTTCCAATTCATAGTTCATTTGGTCCTGTCTGTTCTGCATAGCATCTGACTTCTGGGTTGCATTCTTGATAATCATGGGCCTGTTGTCCTTAGCAGGGGGAGGCATACCACTGGTCCGTAAAACTTTTCATATCTGAGTTTCTGAAAATGACCTGAAGATTTGGCTCCTCGTGAACATGCCTTACGAGGGCTGGGAAAGTTCCCATCCTCCTGAGGGACTAAGGAAGAAGCCCTGTCAGCTGTGGATAAAACTGGACCACCCCCCTCCGTCCCCCTACCCCGCACCTTTTTAAAAAAACAAAAGCAAGCCTTTAATAACATTTCTCCTCACTGCAAAGTTCGGTGTTTCTAGAAAGCAAGTTGACACTGTCATCCAGTTTTACTTGCCCTGGGAAGTAATGCAGATAACAGAGCTGAGGTAAAACTTCCATGCATGTGTTGGAGAAGACTGAGGGGGTAAACATGTGTGGGCTTTGCCTTTGTAAAAAAGCCCTTTGTTTGTAATTGCAGCGATGACTGCCATTTGGCTTGACCTGTTAATGAGCTCCCTGTATTCACTGCTGTTTAGGTTGCAGCGAAGTGATGCACAATCTTTAGGGAGGAAAGCATTTTCATAGACGGGTGTTGTGTAGTGAAATACTCCCAGGCTTCTGAATCTTTAACTTATTCCACTGGGACATCTGGAGTCCTTGGAAAGAAGGCCCTCCTTCTAAGAACCCACCCCACGCTCCTCTCGCCCTGACCCGACTGAAGCCTCTTGCTCTGTTCTGCTCACACTGGCACCTGGAGCGTGCCCTCGCCCGCGGGAGACCAAACTCCTGCTCCCAGGCGGCCTGCAAAGCATTCCCGGCTGTCCCTGCATAGCTGTCTAACCGGAGACTGCGACGTGGGCCTAAGTCCTGGGGAGAGCCCTGCACTTAGCAAATTCCGCTAGAATTGGTGCATTTCTTTTGAAATCCCGAGGCTGACTGTGTTCTGTGGGCTGTTTTCTGCTGTGTCTGCCATCTCGCAAATTCAGTTTCCCTTCCCCTGCGACCCTGGCAATTATTTGTCTCCCATGGTTTATTGGATCGGCCTCTGAGGTCATGGTTAATTGGATTGGCCTCTGAGCCTCACGGGGAAAGATCTGAATGGAAATGAGACCAGAGGGGTCTCATCCCTGCATTTCTTCGAGGGACCTTCACCTGACTCTTACTTTGAGGAGGAAGGAAACATGCCAGGATGTCCCAAGTCTTTCTGTGTCACAAAGCCCAAAAGGTCCAGGCATTTCTCCCGGCCCTAAAGCAGAGCTTCCTTCTTGTTCTAGGTGCCCCAGCCAGTTCCTGCTCATAGCACCCTTTGTCTAACAGCGGAGACCCTGTCCGGTCCCGCACCACCCTCACAATTGTTCTTCTGTTGAGCTCATTGCTGTACCCCTGGTGTCATCCCATCTTGTTGAAGGCCTCCTTCTTTTCCGCTGCCCCTCGATGCTTTGCCAACACGATTTCCCTCTCCAGACACTGGGCTCTCCTGATACCATGGCCAGAGTACGGGAGGAGCCTCACCTTCCTTGCCTGAACAGCATTCTGGCTGTACTTCTAAGACATAAGCGTGTTCTTTTGGCTGTCCATGGTACTTTCTATTTTTTTTAATCATTTTATTGGGGGCTCATCCAACTCTTATCACAACCCATACACACATCAATTGTGTAAAGCACATTTGTACATGCGTTGCCCTCACCATCCTCAAAACATTTGCCCTCCACTTAAGCCCTTGACATCAGCTCCCCATTTTTCCCCTCCCTCCCTGCTCCCCCCACCCTCATAAATCCTTGATAATTTATAAGTTATTATTTTGTTATATCTTACACTGTCCGACGTCCATGGTATGTTCAATGGGCTCTAACAACCTTATAGTTCAAATGTGTCCGTTTTTCTTTGGTTTTTATTCAATGTGGGGAACCTCTTTTTTTTCCTCAAATGCCAGCGGCCATTTGGATATTTATAGTGGCATTCACAGGTTATACAAAATTATCAACTTAAACATTAGCCTGCTATCTTTGGTCAAAAGTTTAATTAACTCACCTTTAATGTGATGGATTGGAACTTCTTTGATGAAGCATGCGATCTTACTGGTGGGCCTTGGCCGGATGATCTCTACCCCTGCCTTCAAAGCTTGATGGTTACAAGGATCCTGACTCTTTGTAACATTTTTTGTGTTTGTAATGTATCCGGGCTTTTGTATTAGTTGCCCAAACCCTTGAAGGCTGATAGAGCCCACTGCTCTTTGGTCTCTCTCTGAGCCTGGCATTACGGGGTGGCAGTCTGCCAGCCAGTTTCTCCTGGGTTTGTGCTCCTGGCTGCCTCTGCCTCTGCCACCACAGCCCATCCACCTCTGGTTCAGTGGGGGTCGTCTGACCAGTCACTTCATCCCTGCGCGTGTCTGTTTGAATCTCCAGAGGCACTTGAGTTACTCTTGAGTCGTTGTCTCCGAGGCTGACTCCTTATCTTTCTGAAGGACCTTCCAGCTGGCCCGCTCCTCTCCCCTGACACTAAGTCATCCATAGCCAGTCTTCTCTGCCCCTGGTTTCTGAGGCCTGTTGCCCCACATGCTGGAAGCTTTAGAGAAATCTCGGAGGCTCCCCCTCCACTTTATAACAAATCCATCAAAAACCCCAGCCTTGTCTTTGAAATGCTCAGGGAATATCTTAAGCAGTAGTACAGTCTATATTCACAGCAAGACAGTCTATATGTCTGATAATCTAGTTGGTATGCCACAATCTTCTAAGGGACTATCTAATCTGCTGCCACAATCCTCTGAAAAATTGTGTTGTAGCCCAGAGTTAAACTGAAATACTATTGATAATATCACCCTACTTCTGTATATAATGACCCATTGGCTCCCTAGTTCCTAGCCTTGGTCTGTCTGTCCTGCAGCCTGGTCCTACTCACTGGTCTCTGTAACCAGTCGTAGGAACCACTGGCTGTGGCACAAAAGGTTAAGACGCTCAGCTGCTAACTGGGAGGTTGGAGGTTTGAGTCTACCCAGGTGCCCCTCAGAAGCAAGGCCTGACCACGTACCCATGAAAATCCGCCACTGGACACCTTGGAACACAGGGTGCTCTGAGCCACTGGGAGCCACTGAGGGTCAGAATCAGTACTAATAGAGTCAGCGGCAGCTTACAGCAGTCTTAGGCTGGTGGTACCTCCCCAGCATGAGGGGCTCCGACACTGGAGATGAAGGAGAAGGGAAGGCTGCAGAGAAGACAGATGGAAATTTTTACCAGAACAAGCTTTCCATATGTTGTTGTTTGCTCAGGCTCGACTTGGCGGCAGCACAAAGGAAGCCCGTGTACATGTCTTTGATGTTGCCCGCTTGTCAGCCCCACCGGTCAGCTGGGTGACACTAAAGTAATGTGGGGAATTCTGAGCCCAGTGAGGAAGGCCGAGAGCAGCCAGGAGACGGAGATGACCACCCTGGGAGCGCCGGTGCCAACAAACAGAACCAGTTCTCTTTTCGTCTGTCGTTGGCCTTTTCTTTCTTGGCGATTCGTTTTTGATCAGGAGGGAATGGGATTTAAAAGTGGTTCATTAGTGGGCTGGCAGTATGAAAATCATGGCTTGTTTGAGTCGATCTTTATCTTTGGTTTCCTTTTCGGTTTGTTTTCAAAGCTTTCATCCCAGAGGCCCCGGAGATCTTGGACTTGGCTGCCGAGTTTCCGACCGACACCTTGCACGTCGAGTGGAACGACAGGGGTTCTGTTTTCCCACGTCACGCAAATGTCACCTGGCAGATCAGGCTTCTATGTAAAAAGAGGATGGAAACCATTGCATTAGTAAGTCGGAACATGACCAAGATGAATCTTACGTGAAACTGAATTGTGCTTTTGAAAGCGATGCTTAAGGTATTCGTAGGAACACTGGAGACACCCTCTCATTCTTTTGGTCTCACGACAAAGCAGGCAGTTATTCAGGAAGACGTTTCTTTTTTTTTTCTCTCCAAATCCTGACCCCTCCTGTTGACATAGCGGTGAAATAGGGACCAGTTGTAAGGGAGGAGTCACGCACAGCCCCAACAGGCAGTGCTTCAGACAGAGCAGGGGCATAATGCCTGATTCAGCATCAGGAAACGTGTGTATCAGGGTTGAATCCTTTCCTCTAGTCACCCCATGTGGATGCTGAGATATATGAAGAATAACTCAGCGTCAGGACTGGAGGAAGGGTTCTTAACTTGTGGTGTGCAGGTGACACGCTTGCTTGCCGATAGCAAAGGGAACGTGAAGCACTTGCTGATGAAGGTCAAAAACTGCATCCTTCATTATGAATTACAGCTCAGTATAAAGAAAACTAAAGTCCTCCCAACTGGACCAGT